TTGAAGTTCCAGCGCTTGTTGCTAGTAAGATATCTTAGCTCCGTTTTGCTGACAAAGCTGAATGATAAGACGGCGTGATCACTTTTCCCCAGGGGAGCCAGGATTGAGAGGTCGTCAACTAGGAGTTCTTCATTTGTGAATACCCAGTCTAAGCGCGACGGCATCTGACTGTTTCTCCAACGGGTTGCCGACCAAGCAGTTGGGAAACTCCAGTTTTGCCTTGTCGAAGAGAAGCTGCATAACTGAACAAGCTTTTCGGATTGGAGACGAATCTATCGATAAGCTTGGTCTGGAACTGAAGCCTGTCTTCTCTTATTGCCTTTGAACATATGATCCTTATGCGTTTATATTGCCTGTACGCGCCGTTGTTATCAGTTCGTTTATATTCAGCCCAACAGTGTCTTTTGCGGCTTAGCAAACGACGAATGAGGTTCTTGATGATTGGGGGTTGCTTGTAGCTTTTTGGGACCATTTGAGGAACTGAATGCTCAGTAGCACATAGGATCGTGTACAGTAAAAAATCCCACTAAGCATCCACCTCAAGTTGAGGGTGAACATCCCAATCCACCTGTTGTAGATAGTCCTGTAAAGCTAACACATTCAACCGTTTGAAGTTCCAGCGCTTGTTGCTAGTAAGATATCTTAGCTCCGTTTTGCTGACAAAGCTGAATGATAAGACGGCGTGATCACTTTTCCCCAGGGGAGCCAGGATTGAGAGGTCGTCAACTAGGAGTTCTTCATTTGTGAATACCCAGTCTAAGCGCGACGGCATCTGACTGTTTCTCCAACGGGTTGCCGACCAAGCAGTTGGGAAACTCCAGTTTTGCCTTGTCGAAGAGAAGCTGCATAACTGAACAAGCTTTTCGGATTGGAGACGAATCTATCGATAAGCTTGGTCTGGAACTGAAGCCTGTCTTCTCTTATTGCCTTTGAACATATGATCCTTATGCGTTTATATTGCCTGTACGCGCCGTTGTTATCAGTTCGTTTATATTCAGCCCAACAGTGTCTTTTGCGGCTTAGCAAACGACGAATGAGGTTCTTGATGATTGGGGGTTGCTTGTAGCTTTTTGGGACCATTTGAGGAACTGAATGCTCAGTAGCACATAGGATCGTGTACAGTAAAAAATCCCACTAAGCATCCACCTCAAGTTGAGGGTGAACATCCCAATCCACCTGTTGTAGATAGTCCTGTAAAGCTAACACATTCAACCGTTTGAAGTTCCAGCGCTTGTTGCTAGTAAGATATCTTAGCTCCGTTTTGCTGACAAAGCTGAATGATAAGACGGCGTGATCACTTTTCCCCAGGGGAGCCAGGATTGAGAGGTCGTCAACTAGGAGTTCTTCATTTGTGAATACCCAGTCTAAGCGCGACGGCATCTGACTGTTTCTCCAACGGGTTGCCGACCAAGCAGTTGGGAAACTCCAGTTTTGCCTTGTCGAAGAGAAGCTGCATAACTGAACAAGCTTTTCGGATTGGAGACGAATCTATCGATAAGCTTGGTCTGGAACTGAAGCCTGTCTTCTCTTATTGCCTTTGAACATATGATCCTTATGCGTTTATATTGCCTGTACGCGCCGTTGTTATCAGTTCGTTTATATTCAGCCCAACAGTGTCTTTTGCGGCTTAGCAAACGACGAATGAGGTTCTTGATGATTGGGGGTTGCTTGTAGCTTTTTGGGACCATTTGAGGAACTGAATGCTCAGTAGCATATAGGATCGTGTACAGTAAAAAATCCCACTAAGCATCCACCTCAAGTTGAGGGTGAACATCTCAATCCACCTGTTGTAGATAGTCCTGTAAAGCTAACACATTCAACCGTTTGAAGTTCCAGCGCTTGTTGCTAGTAAGATATCTTAGCTCCGTTTTGCTGACAAAGCTGAATGATAAGACGGCGTGATCACTTTTCCCCAGGGGAGCCAGGATTGAGAGGTCGTCAACTAGGAGTTCTTCATTTGTGAATACCCAGTCTAAGCGCGACGGCATCTGACTGTTTCTCCAACGGGTTGCCGACCAAGCAGTTGGGAAACTCCAGTTTTGCCTTGTCGAAGAGAAGCTGCATAACTGAACAAGCTTTTCGGATTGGAGACGAATCTATCGATAAGCTTGGTCTGGAACTGAAGCCTGTCTTCTCTTATTGCCTTTGAACATATGATCCTTATGCGTTTATATTGCCTGTACGCGCCGTTGTTATCAGTTCGTTTATATTCAGCCCAACAGTGTCTTTTGCGGCTTAGCAAACGACGAATGAGGTTCTTGATGATTGGGGGTTGCTTGTAGCTTTTTGGGACCATTTGAGGAACTGAATGCTCAGTAGCATATAGGATCGTGTACAGTAAAAAATCCCACTAAGCATCCACCTCAAGTTGAGGGTGAACATCTCAATCCACCTGTTGTAGATAGTCCTGTAAAGCTAACACATTCAACCGTTTGAAGTTCCAGCGCTTGTTGCTAGTAAGATATCTTAGCTCCGTTTTGCTGACAAAGCTGAATGATAAGACGGCGTGATCACTTTTCCCCAGGGGAGCCAGGATTGAGAGGTCGTCAACTAGGAGTTCTTCATTTGTGAATACCCAGTCTAAGCGCGACGGCATCTGACTGTTTCTCCAACGGGTTGCCGACTACACATTTTCGAGTAATCCCAGGTCGCCGATAAGGTTGAAGAACAGAGCTTCAGTAGAGTTGTCACCTCCAATGTATGTATGTCCCACGAAGTTGATTCTAGGGAGATTGAAGTCCCCTAGAATCAGGATATGAGAGAATCTGAGACGCGTAGAGTGAGTTAATCCTTCCAGGAGACGTTTGTCATACTCGATGTCGGCAGTGGGCTTCCTGTAAATGACCCCAACTAGACACCTCTAGTTTGTAGACAATCTTACTGAGTACCATACTAACTAATCAAGATTGAGAAACTCTTGGTTGTGAAGCTGGTGCGCATCCAGGCATGACCGTATGTATAGTGCTACCCCACCCCCCATTCCTGTTTTTCTGTCGTTGCGAAATAAAGACATCCCAGTTATTGCTAACTCTTGGTCCGTAAACTGAGACGTTATCCAAGTTTCGGATATTCCTATCAGATGGGCATCATTAGCGTTGCTAAGTTCACGTAGCTCATCCATTTTGTTTGGCAAACTCGCGGCGTTCGTGTATAGGCAGTTTATGCTTTCAATTTGGAACGCGTGAGCTTTTTCCTGTTTGTCTATATGAGCCGTGCGTGAGTGGACAGGTAGCCTACTTATACAATGTTTACCGAGTTGGTTGTCATTGTCCTTTGCACGTTTTTAATGATCAAGACAGTCCACGAGTGGAATTGTCAGCTCCAGCTTTCCCTTGTGCTTGATCCTGCTGTCGTGGGGCCTATCCGGATGCATATGGATGCCAGTTGGCAACCGACGTCTATTGGCACGAAATGCTTCCAAAGTTGCCGCCGCCATGTGGGAGGAGGGGAAGGTTATCTTCCATAGCCGGGGCCTAGAGTCTCGTCTCTCTTGGCTAGTCGCATTACCTGTTGGGTCAATATGTTCTTGAGTTTTAAGTAATGCTTAATGAATTTCCATTCCCGAATATCAGAGTTTGCTTGATTTGGGTCCATATTTTCCTGTACACCTTGCACAATGATATTTCGTCCAAGGAAAAACGCCTCGCGAGATTCCTTAGGGATGTTCCGGATGAGATTTCGTTCAGAATACGGTATGTCTGGCAATATTCTTACGTTCCCATCGGACTTCAGTAAGTGGCTGGCTAGCAGGACGTCCTCAACGTCGGAGGCATTCTTAAGTGTGACACGAAGCAGTCTCGGGTAGTTTAGATGGTTAGAGTCCTTCCCCCGAGTGAGCCGTGTGACGGTCAAAGGCTCTAGTCTAGGGAATTCAAGCCTCTTGTTTAATTCTCCCCAGAGCATCCTATCATTTTTGTCCTGCAAACTGAGAGGAAGGTCGGGGTTGTCAATAAAGTTCATTATTATGACAGAGTCATCACGAACCGCAATTGATTTCCCAGGTTTTCCAGGGCGTCTAGGTTTGGTATCTTGTTGTTTTGATGTCGAGGCGCGTTTTCGTTTCCTGAGCTCAGTGATGACCGGGCGGACAGTCTTGGGGGTAGACTGTGCAGCCAAAGCATCAACTGATTTCCGCACGATACTTGGGACGTTCGGTTTCGGCGGGGACGCTTGGGCTTTATTACTCTTGCTAACGTGAGTCCATCCACCTACAGGATTTTTGGGAACCACTGTCTCATTCAAGGACTGTTCCCCGGGGGACCCAAGTTTACTGAGGGAGTCGATGTTAAGATGGTGCTGAGTTTCAGCACATCATCACTCGTTCTGTTAACAGCACCGTCGATAACCGACCTGTCAGTATCCTTTTTCTTATTTGCCCTATGCGTTCCAGCTTTGTTACCCGTCATGATGCTATCATTTACCGAATTCTTAGACAACTTATCTCTCAGACCTGCCAGTAAAGTAATGATAGTACCCAACATAACTACCGTATCGGTGTTGCAGGTAACACATACCCACCTACGATCAGACTTGCTGAGTCTGCTATAGGCTGCTGCTGTTAGATCTGTACATGCCTCATGGAACCAACCTTTACAGTTGTGATTTAGACTGTCTTAAAAATACAAGCAGTAAATATTGGACCGTTAAAAAAAAACATACAGTGAACAAAAACTGGCAAAAATGTATAAAAACAGTTAACGATAAGCTTAACCTAGCCTTTACGTGAAAACTATAAAAAAACCGATAGTGAGCTGAGGCAAAACCACAGTTAACTATTAATTTGAATGAAATACAAAAAAGAAGTAATCTACCGAACGTATAGGTCAGAATAGATTATTTAGATCGGAAATGGTACTTTTGTTGCGTAAAAACACAGCAAAAGTTTGAGAAATGTGAATAACGTTAAGACTAAACTTCCCGTCTCCATGAAATAATCTGTTTTTATGAAAATTGATATAATACTGCGAATGTCAGTTACCTTATATTTACTCTTCAGTTTTAGTGCACTCTTATTGGTGCCGCAATGCTCGAATGACGGCTTAATTGACATTTACTTGTCCGTTTACTTGTTGGTGAGACAAGTGTATTCTATGTTTGGAGATCGTCAGGTGTCTGTCATTAGTCCAGCCACTCGGGATAAGGAGGTCTTCAGATGGATCCCTTGCAGGGTACTTTAATTTTCCATTCATATCATGAGTTATCTTAATCCGATTCCAATATATTTCCTTATCTAGCCTGGGGAAGTCAAAGATGAGAACTCGGAAATTGTTGACGTTATTAGTTGGGTAGTCTCTGATGTCAGAGAAATGTCCGAAAATCCAACATTAGTTGAGCTTCTCAAAGAAACGGACAGGAGTTCATATGACGATGTATCGAAACTTTGTGATGTGTACAATAAAGCTATCATAGACCTTTGGGACATGGTATGATCCTTATCTTATTTTTGATTTCCAAGTGGATTGAGGAAAATACTGTTCCTGAATTTTTTAACCGAAAGGCTTCCCGTGATCATGTTCAGTTCATTCTTCTTCAATGTTACAATCGAGCTGTATCAGATCCAGAAAAGCTGAATCAGTATCCACCTTTTTCGCCTCAAGTGTATGGGGAGACATCTTTTGAACTTATTTCACAGATGATTGACACAATCGCAGTCACTAGTGACGACGTATTTATCGATCTTGGGAGTGGTAAGCTAAAGAGTGGTTGTTTATCCATTAAATTAGGTGTTGGTCAGGTTGTCCTTCAAGTATGTGCATCTACTGATGCGAAATTTTGTTACGGGATTGAAAAAGCTGAATATCCCGCCCATTGTGCCTCGCGTCTTGACTCAGCTTTCCGTCACTGGATGAGTTTTTACGGAAAATCTTATCGACCCTACACGGTAACTAAATTTTATGCATGGTGTTTTGCTTTAATCTCCCCAAAAATTCTTAAAAAAACTTCCCTTGAAAATCTATGACATTATCAATGTTTTCAATTGCTTCATTACCTCAATTGAAGACCAGAAAAGTGGTTTTTGACCTTGTGCACACAGGGTAATACACGTTGTTCTTACGCGTTTATTTTGTTATCTTGTTCTCAGTTGGAACGCGGGGATTTTCTATCAGCGGAGTATCAGGAGAAAATAACAAATGCTGGCATCCTTTTTGCAAACAACTTTGCCTTTGGTCCAGAGGTGGATCACCAACTAAAGCAAAGGTTTGCTAACCTTAAAGAAGGTGCTCGGATAATTTCTTCAAAGGCTTTCTGTCCTTTGAATTTCCGAATCACTGATAGGAATCTCGGAGGTATGGTTTATTTTGTGGTTTTTTCACACATTCTGTGGGATTTTCGGATGATTTTTATTGTATACTGGTAAACATTACTTATAGACTAGTCTGTAACGTCATACTCTCGAAATGGTTTAGTTTATACGAAAAGTAAATCCTAATTAAGGGGGACATGTCCATAATTTTTAATATGTCTCTGGTTCAAATAGCCGATATAGGTTTTCGTGATTTGTTATTCTTGATATTTTCTGCAAGGTTTATACAGCATAAAAGACTCGTCATGTTTTTCTTAAGCTAACCATTTCTACTTACCCTAAGGATGAAATTCTTTTGTTTGTAGTGGGTTATAGTTGTTTACAAGTTAGTAATGTATTTATCAACATTAAAATCAGATATACTATTGGCGGAAAAACAGCTTTATGGTATTACTGTATAAAATAGGATGTAGATTTTTCATTGGAGACGCTGTGTAAACTGATATATATATACTGTCGACTTGTCTCAATTAGATGATTTCAAATGCATGTGCCTATCTAAATTTTTAATAGCTTCAAGTGATTCAATTATGTGACTTCATTGTCATCAGTGAAGTAAATATAGGGAAAATCGAAGCTGAAAAATATGATGGTCTAGATGAAAAAAAGGAGCAGACGACATCGAATGGGTCAGCTACAGCATTGGTAGATAGTTTTCAATGAACGGTGTTACATTTATTCTCGAATGCTTAGCGAAACACCTAGATATACATTTTTTTGTCGAAGTGTTTCAGAAATACGTGGAAATAATATGGGGTGTTAAGAGTGCTAAGACTAGTCCTGATCTCTAGAACATATAATCATAACCCGTCTTTATGGATTCGCATCCGTAAGTCAATCTTTTCGTTTTCCACATAAAACTCATTTAGTTAATCATAAGCAAAATAGAGCTTCACACTAGACTAATCGACTAATTTATATAATATCAATCTATGTGGTGTATTAATTGTTGAATTATAGACTATTAGTTATCTTTACCGGTTTCGAGAAATGGTTTATTCGCTTAACTGTTTAAACTACTTACTTAACTTGGACGTTATTCAAGTTCAGCTTCTTGTTCTTTGCATCGAGCTACACTTTAGATGTGAAAGCTATTAATAATGATATCACGTGGTTGCTCCAAGGAAAGTAGGTGAAAATTTCAAATACGAAGGTCTCTTAATGATCGTTTGTTATACTACCTCCAAAGTTACACCTCAAAGTTCTGTCTTTAAGATAACACCACTGTGGTATATCCAAATAGATTTCATACTCAACCACTGAGATATATTTGGATGCTGTTTCTGTTTATAGGCATTTTATATTCTGATTTCTAAAGCTTACGGTCTAATCTTGGCTTTTCTTAAGAGTGATCTTTCCGAAACTGCAGCGTACGTGAGCCTTAGGTAAACGATTTAGACAGTTTCTAGCTGTTGACCTATATTATATAGGGTTATTGCTTGACATTAGCCAGTCACATGGATATCTCATTGCTTTGTATTTGAACTTGTGTATATCTATGGCGTCTTCCTTTTCGAAATTCCATTTATGGTAGCATGTTTTCCCAAGTTCATTACTTTTGATCATACTCGAAGTTAAAAAACCAATATATATATATGATTTTACTAGATATTGGATCGATCATGCGTGTGAGCTGTTTAAACCCAATCCAAGATGCAGTTTCATGGACTGATAAACCATTTAGTTATTATGTTCATACAATTGATCGTTCGTTGGTAAGTATACCCTTGAATAATTTTCTAGTCTACATATTGTGGGAGGAATTATCGATCCAGTTAGCCGTACATTCTAAGTAAAATCATCCGAGTTGACATCAGTCTCCACTTTGCAGTAGGCCACAAACCGTTTGATAGTAAGAGAGGTAATGTCATGCTTATCAAGGGAATTTAGTTGTCCGTCTGACAGATTCATTTTTATAAGATCACTGATATTCAAGTTATTTGATTGTAATATTAGGCTGAAAAATGCAATAAACGATACGCCGTATTTAGCTCCGTAAGATATACGCTTAATAGCTGAAAAGTCCTCACTTACCTAGCCAGGTAAATTTATCCATTAGAAAGCCAATATTATTTACTATATTTTTATTTACAGTTCTAGTGTACACATCTACCATAGTTTACTTACATCTGTAAATAGTTGATTTCATGCAAGATGCTCTCATTTGCAATTATTTTTTTGCAATTATTATAACATTAGTTCCCTAAAATCTATTCAACCTATTTGATATATTTTCTGAAACCTATGTTGTATTTGAGTTTTCATTATGAATTTTACCTTTTGGATAACAATTGTTCTACTTTCGATTTGATTTTAGTTAGAACAATACTTTGCTCGTTTGAAAAATCCGAAATCTAAAGTATGTTAATCAGTTTATTTTTCAAAGGTCCATGATTTGGACCTGTGTGCACTAACACTGTTATGATTTACAAAATCTATATTTTGTCATAGTAGTAAAAACTGGACATTATTGGATAAATGGTTCTTTCTACAAAGTTATGTGGGTTTGAAAAAAGTCGTAGACTGTCGTATCAGTCAATTGTTTTAACAAATACTTAAAAGAACTACTTGGGACGCAACATTAACCACATTTTCACCAAAGGTGTTGTACCGCGGAGACCTTTTTGCATAATTTTGATAGACTAATATGGCAACTCAAAAACTCACGCAGCGAAATCGATCAAATTTGTCATCTGTATCCCTAATTAGGTTAAATAGGGTTTTGAGCATCATCTCAACTTACTTAAGTTTCTTCGAAATGTCCTAATTCACTCTATATTCAATTCATTGAACAATCTAACTTTAGTTAAGTTGGTCTTTCAAGAAACGGCTACAAACTAATTTTACTGTTTAAAAATTGCTTGTCACGAAGTGCAGTTCGATGTAGTGTGGATCCAAATCAATGTAAAAATTGTAGGTTCAACTGTTCGCATAATCAGGAGTTTCTCGTATTCATGAAATAAAATGAAATAAAAAACATTTCCTAGTTCTTTTGAGTAGCAGAAGCGACACTATATTGTATGTATAGCATGAAAAGCCAGTGAGAATATTACTAGTCATTCGAACATTTTGGCACTCAGTAATTCTTAGGAAAGACGGCTTATTGGTCAAGGCGTTCGACTTTCAAACAAATTCTCGGGTTCAAACCTTGCTCCACATACTCAGGTTCAGGTAACTGGGTAGTATCATTAGCCTTTACACTTAAAGTATGGTTCATATCCAAGAACCTGGTAAATAAGTTAACTTATATGACTTAATTATTTGCTAGTTTACCATAAAATGTTTGGGTTCAATTTAGAGCATAAAGTATTAATGGATCAGTTAGGATTTACTATGCGTTATCATGCTTCATAAAAGGTTAGAGTGGTGGCATAGTGGTCAAAACACTCAGTTTACAATCAATAGGTTTGGGGGGCCGAGTACTATTTTTATCCTTCACACAAATGCATACCTCAAAACCGAGTACATAAACCTATAATTGATCTGTAAGCTGCGTTATTTTTTATTGCGGAATAAAGGAACAAACAACAAAATATAGATATTGTGCCTATTCAAGTATTACATGGGTACCCAAACTGCGGCAGACAGAGCACTGTTTTATGTTCTATTCATTCATTGAAAGCCGAATTGCCTCATCCTGATAGATGTCATCCCCAATCAAACCCAAAATCATAATCTTTCACTTTTAACACCAAAGTCTCATCCAACATTAAATGATAGATGAGCATAAAAAAACTGAGGACCTCACACATCGGGTTTGCCCTATATAATATATTCAAATAAACCTTGAGCATATTTTGTATGTTTACTTTATTTGTTAGATTTGAGTTTATGAATACATTTTTCTTTTTTTGTTGTCTGAATTCTTGCAAACTATAAATAGAACGAAAATCAAATCGTTCGTCGTGATCGTAAGGGTCGTGTAATTTCTGAGGCGACTATGCAAGAAGTAAGTATCATTAGATGTTCTCTAAGGTCTCCCTGTTGTGCGCTTTTTGAAACTCAAACGTTTAAAAATGTTTGGGCACACATTAACAAAATGGAAGTGGTTTCAAGTATTTTAAGTTTGATAAAAATCAGTACATTTTAGTACAGAATTCGACTAAAACGTGATTACTATAATACGAAACATTGTTGTATCCTTGATTATAGTATCGACTAAAATTTTATGGACTTAATATTTGTTGAGCTGAAGTTTCAGCGAAGTGTTCTATTTGTGGGACTTCTGTTTTTAAGAGTCGCTATAGTACAGTGGGGTATTATTTTGATTTAGATAGAGATTAGTGTTATTATTCTTTTTATTAAGGTGAATTGTTTACATAAGTTTGAGATTGTTTAGCCTTTAATCTTTAAAGCCGTCATATTAAGCAGAATTAAGAAATTTAATTGTCACTTCTAATGGCCAGTAAAAATTCATTAGACGTTAATCATATATTGTCCCATTATATCATGAGTCACAATTGTTTCAGAGGTATTTATTTAGAATATAAAAGGATCTCAAGAAAGTGATGAGAAATCGTGATATCTTACATACTGAACCAATAAAGTTGGGGTTGTGTATTTCCACCCCTTAAAAATGACTTGTTTATAACATTATTTGCTTCCTCTAGATGTCGGAAAATGTAGGAACATTTAACCTCTTGAAACAGAAGAAAAAGACCCACGATCTCCTTATTATAAAAAGACAAACTAACTTTTTTTGAGAACCAGTCTCTGTTATAATGGTTTAGTAGTAATACAATTTAATTACTCATTTACCCTATAACCTGTCTAGTTCCACTGTAAAGTCTTTGATTTAGTTTAGCTTGAGTTAATCCGGTTGACTGTATTCGAAAAACCACCATTCAGTATAATTCCCCTGATATAATTTACGAAGATAAAGTCTAACAATCAACTCTTTATTGGTCGGAAAATGAGTGGCTTGCAAGCCAATATTCTCCAATCGCCTATGACATTTTATCATTCTCATTTTTTGTTCATATTCTGTATATAAGGATGTTATTTTATTACATGAAAAACTTATTCATCGAGTTAGTGACATTGTCTCTGGTTTCTGATAATTCGGGGTCCAAGTCAGTTATGTGGTAGCCATCACTCGGTCACATTATACTATTACTTCCATTTATCGATTGACATTCTATTCATTGACTTTAACAGTCGAAATTCATCTGATCAGATTGCAAAAAACTCTCCGCCACGACAGTGGTTGAAAGTCTAGTTCCTTAATGGATATGTTACTTTATCGGTCTGAACACTTGATTCACTTAAATTTTAACAACTCAACTGATTTCAGGACAGTAAACTAGAGTTAGAGACACATTTATAGCTGACAAAACAAGCCAATAGCATATACCAACGTAGATATAGTAAAGTTTCAGCCTACAAACCAACCGTTAAATGTCGAGCGCAAATAAATGAGAAACAATTGCACTCGAATTATCAAAAAGTACAAGTGACACAATTATCTTTTGAGTTAAATACTTGACGACTAAAACGTTGGTAACAATTAATTGATAAACAATGTGATTTTTTGTACTGTTAGTGACAAAAGTAAAGCAATATAATGTCTAGTTGGATAGATATGAGCGTAACCATTTGAGGTAGTGTCATGGAGGAGAGTTTTTTGCAATCTGATCAGATGAATTTCGACTGTTAAAGTCAATGAATAGAATGTCAATCGATAAATGGAAGTAATAGTATAATGTGACCGAGTGATGGCTACCACATAACTGACTTGGACCCCGAATTATCAGAAACCAGAGACAATGTCACTAACTCGATGAATAAGTTTTTCATGTAATAAAATAACATCCTTATATACAGAATATGAACAAAAAATGAGAATGATAAAATGTCATAGGCGATTGGAGAATATTGGCTTGCAAGCCACTCATTTTCCGACCAATAAAGAGTTGACTGTTAGACTTAATCATTGGACAGCGAATCAACCATAGAGTAGCAAGTTTGAGCCCAGATTGATATCCTTCGTGTTGGACAGCTGAGTTTTATCGTTAAGCGTCATATAAAAAGTATGACTTCACAACAAATACATAAAAATCTGTTAGTGGTAATCGAGTAGCACTGATTTTTAGATTAGTATATATCAAACTAGGATGTTTAGGTTCTTCAGTTCACTTCGGTTTCTAAGGTTTTTACTTGCTGTCAATTTACCCCGGCACTATATTTTTAAGCTCAATGTATTTATTTTCAATGTCTCTTGACCACCATACTTTTATTTCTTGTAGTTTCGTTTACTGTGATCTACATATATTGTTTAAAATTTTGTAGAGTTCAATTCAGTTAACACTAAATGCTACCGATAACAATCAACATAACACAAACGGTAATGTCAGTCATAAAGCTAAACGGTCATCAACTATCATAAAACATTGTTCGAGTACTTCCCGATTCTTACCAAGAAGATCAGCATCTCTACTTGAAGTAACCGCTAGTTCTCCTTCAGAGTTGATCTCTGTTGAAGGAAGAAAGCTGAGTTTACAAAGTTGTTTATCAAAAAATGAAACTATTAGTTGCCAAATCACTACTGGATCCACGGCTGTGCATAGAATGGAAAAGTGTGAATCACAACATTTACAGTCAGAACTTAAGCGTTCTCATGTTCACCATAAAGACAATCAGTCATCTGTTGATATTTTCACAGTATCTAATGATACTAGTAATACAGATCTAGTTGAATCTCATGTTGATACACAGCTAGCATATAATGATAATGAAGACGGAAAACAGTTTTGTAAAGTTATTCGTCATTTGTTAGATGATCCTTGCGAAACTCACTCATTACCTAAGTCAGATAATATCAAACAGAGTGTACGTTGTAAAAGAAAAACAATTACAAATGATAAAAAGTTAACACTTAATTATCCAATTATTGATGATTATCCAAGTTTACATTCATCATCATCTCACGATCAACACGATAGTCGAAATTCTTCGTCATCACCGTATGTTTCTTCATTATCATCGGCTAATCGATCTCCGAATTCTCAAATCGATGAAATCACTCCTTCTTTGAACAGCTTGACAAAATATTCTGATCTGGGATTAAAATCAGTTCAATCGCCTGATCTTTCTATTGTCCCAGAAGATAAACTAATTAAGGGTGAGTTATTCTGTCTCTTTGTTTTAAAATATTCACAATAGGTAATAATTTCTGTCTAATAACTACAGCATAATCTATAAATACTCTAAAGGTTAACTTTGGTTACTGAAAGCTTTGTTCAAGAACAACTTTGATGTCAATAAATATGTTGATAGGGTTGTGATCATTCATCAACCAAAGTAATTGGTTTATGTATTAGGTAGATCTCATTAATTTAACTTGGTGTATTGTACTGCTTCAATTATTAGCAATTTGTGAAGTTACTCCTATCTAGATTGTTTGGATTATTTATTCTTTGAAGAAGTGGCTTACACTGAGCCACGAAACGTCAGAAAATCTGACTTTTCTACTCATTGAGATATTACAAATATATTTTATTTCTAACAATCTACTCAATGCTCAATTTATTTCAAATCATCAAGTCAGTCAGTCAGCTACAACGTAGGACCAGGCACACATATGCATCGGTCGAAGTTGCCATACCTCGTTATCAAGTCAAGCCTTTGAAGAAGTGGCTTACACTGAGCCACGAAACGTCAGAAAATCTGACTTTTCTACTCATTGAGATATTACAAATATATTTTATTTCTAACAATCTACTCAATGCTCAATTTATTTCAAATCATCAAGTCAGTCAGTCAGCTACAACGTAGGACCAGGCACACATATGCATCGGTCGAAGTTGCCATACCTCGTTATCAAGTCAAGCCTTGGTAACGATACCTACAAAAAATATTGGTTTACACCCGACTTAATTCAAATATATATTGATTAAATTTATTGCTTATTGTTTACAAAGTCGCCACGAATATCAAATTATAGTAAGTTTATGGATACGATGTAAAATGCATTAGAAATCGAATTCATTAATACTGAAGCTGATAGACAAAACCACTTTACTCCATTATGTAGATTTTATGATTGGTTTTTCCGTAGTACGTTGTACTTGGGGATTTAGAGTCCCTAACAGTCGTGTGCTTTCAACATTCAAATTTCGAAAAGCTGTGATTTTATCTTGGATATTCGACTTATTATTCGGACTTGGGTTGTCAAATTGTTATGTAGTCCTCGTTTCATATTGTTTGGATTTTTATTTTATTTATTACAATAATCATAAATTCTCTTAGATACAAAACATTGTTTTTATACAGGCTTTGGTAATTTTTAACCTAAGTTCTGTTTGATTTGATAATAACATACCTGCCCATTTTGTTTTCTCTTATAATCAGGATTAGTACACATGTGGTTTTATATGTTTTGCAGGCTACATATAATTACGCTTAAACACTGTACTAGGAAAAACACCCATTTATCTAATTGCATATTGTTTAATTTTTGGAGTGAATATTTCTAAACCTATCGATAACAGTGGGTAGCAATCATTTGTTATATTGTATTGTTTAATCTTTGGTATTAGCTTTATCTTATCGAGTAAGCTTTTCTTCATGATGTAACTGTTGAGGACGTTGAACATCCAGAAGGCTATATACTTAGTCAGCTACAACGTAGGATCGGGTACATTTGTACATCGGTCCAAATTGCCATACCTCATTAGCATAACAAGATGAACACCGGATTCATAGAAATAGTTAATTTAGTGGTGGTAATATACAAAAGATAGGTTGTATATAAGGATATAGCATAGGAATGAAAAAAGTTATGAAGCAATTTTAATCTCAAGGTTTAAGGGAAGATAAAGAGTGTATACACCTGTGCCATTGTGATTGATTCTGAGCCATGTGACACAGAGGCTCCAACGATTGGTTACGATAGTCACGCGGACCCCAACCGAGTAGTCTGCATCTACCAACATGGCTCAGACTAGAAGTTAGTGACTTCAAGCTCTGATGCCACGTTTTGGTTTGGCCGCCCCTAACTTTCTTCCCGACCGTTGCTGCTACCTTGACGTGGTGGTTGATCGTGATAAAGCAATCGAGCTATGCTGGCTGGAACAATCGTTCCTCGAGGTCGGTTGAAGAGCGGTAAGACTAAAAGCAGCAATCCCAAGGTCCGAAGGTGAAGTCGTGCTGCCGACTGTACAGAGGTGTGACGGCAGTAAGATGTTTCCTTCAGACTACCAGCATGACAGCAATGCTGCCTTCCCACAAGGAGGGGTGGGGTTAGAAAAGGTCCATCTTAAAAATGCACACCTCGCCTTATCCCACGGATTTCTGTCTCCGGCGGTAAGGTCCTTTGAAGAACGGAGCTAACACATAAAAAATCCCCCACAAAAAGGCCGTGCGTGATCGGCCTCAAGCAGTTTTCCCTTGGGCACTGCGATCACGCTCCCAGGTCGTTAAGACCAACACTAATCCGACTGCTTTTTCAGGTCCCTCAAGAAATACCCTTCCACGGTGTGGGCAGCCGGGAAGTGATATTAGCCCTCATACCGGTAATAGCACACGAGAGCAAGTTGGTCACTTTCAAACCCTTCCTACTCCTAATAACTCTCTTATCTCCACGACTAACCCTTCCCACGTACTTTTATCACCTCGCACCGCTAGGGCAAACGATTCAAGTACACGGAACGTTATTCCTGGCCTCCTGAAACCACACTCTAAACTACATATAGGAACTTTTAATGTCCGAACATTGTGTCAAGTAGGACAACAGGCTTCCTTAGCTAGGACTTTAGAATCTTACACCATCGATGTGTGCTGCGTCTCCGAAACGCGCATACAAGATCCGAGTAGTGTCATTCATTTGACCGCACCTAATCAAAATAAAGAACCATCTCGATACACGCTTCGTGTATCTGGAAGCCATGATGCTGCTTCCCGTGGCCTCGCTGGCGTAGGTATATCATTAAATCCTAGGGCAGAACTAGCTCTTTTAGACTGGATCCCAGTAGACAGTCGTCTATGCGCTGTCCGACTAAACGGATCAGTAAGGACTCGGAAAGAAACTTGTCGTTGCCTCTTCGTCGTCTCTGCCTACTCTCCCACTGACTGCAGCTCAGACGATATAGAAGATGAGTTCTACAGGAAACGTTCTGACTTTCTCCGAAAAGCTAGGCGTTCTGATGTAGTAATAGTGGCTGGTAACTTTAATGCTCAAGTAGGTAAACTAAGTGAAAGGGAAAGACACCTGGGTGGATCTTATGGTGTCATGGCTAAAAGAACAGATAATGGCGACCGTCTGTTGCAGCTGTGCTCAGATAACCGCCTATTTCTTGCAAATACTAACTTTAAGCATAAGGAAAAACATCTTTTGACATGGCGACCCCCGAATTCGTCCCAATGTTGGACCCAATTAGATCACATCGCTATCAGCCACTGATAGAGGGGCTCGATAGAAGACTGTCGTTCATTCTGGAGCACATGTTTAGATTCAGATCATGCTCTAGTGAGAGCACGTATCTGTCTGCATTTTACTGACGCAGGAAAGACACTGCAGGGAAGCCCCTAAGGGTTCTACTTAATGATAAACAAGCTAAGAATATATTTCAGGAACAAATGGAAAAACAGTTAGACAGACATATAAGTTGTGCCCACCCCGAGGCAGCATAGAATGACATCCGTAAAGCTGTGGAAACAGCAGTGATATCCGCTAGTTAGGTAAGCCATAAGGTCAGGGAGAAAAAATGGATCTCGGCAGCATCTACCACACAGATAGATGCTCGAAAACTCATCCCACCTGTCTCTGAACATAACGAAGAGCGGAGTCAGCTTAAGCGAAGGCTAATAAGAAGCCTACGCAATGATCTTGAACAGTGGTGGGTAGCGAAGGAAAGAGAGATGGAAAAGGCAGCGGCAATAGGTAACAGCAGACAGCTATTCAGACTCATTAAAGAAACCGGTATTAGGAACCCAACTATTAGCGAAACTACCTCAGACAAAGATGGGCATATCATTCATTCTCAATCCAGGAGATTGGATCGATGGGCAGAAAACTTTAGGGATCAGTTCAACTTTCTTCCAACCATCGCCAATACTAGTTAGCATTGAGTGTCGTGGTAATCGGTGTTCAGGCATGCTAAAAACGTGACCTAACCATCTCAGTCGATGAAGATTCATGACCTCATCAACTGATTTACCATCATTCCCTAATACCCTGTGTCTAACTTCACTATTACTTACCCGGTGATCCCAGTAGATGCGAGCAATGTTTCTAAGACATCTGTAACTTTTCAGTATCTTCTACTCTTAATGGCCATGTTTTGCAACCGTAAATAGAACAGAACGAACTACCGCACAGTATGCTCGTCCCTTAATTGATAGACAGATATCTCGCCTTCTCCATAGGTTGCGTAAGATGGCAAAAGACAAACGAGCTTTTTGAATCCGTGCTGAGATTTCGTCAGACACCAACCCATTAGGGTTGATCAGACTTCCAAGATAAGTCAAGTTGTCGACGCGTTCGACTACTTCACTCCCTATCCTTAGTTCAGGTGTTGACGCAGGTTAGTCATGGAGTAACAATTTGCATTTAGATGGGAAGAAACACATCCCAAATATCCTGGCATTATTACACAGTTCTAACAGAGGACTGCATTTTGTCAGCGTATTCACCAAACAGGACTATGTCATCTGCGTATTCAAAGTCTATTAGTGGACCTCCTGGTACGAGATCGATTCCTGAAAATTCAGTCGATGAGAGTGTTATTTCCAGCAATAGGTTTTTAATGAAGTTAAAAAAATGGGAATAGTGAACAGCCTTGTCGGGCACCTCTTGAGGTTGTAAAATCATATGACAATTTGCCATAAGCTCTCACTCGACTGGTAGTGTTCGAGTAAAGAGCCTTCACAAGGTTTATGTACTTCTGAGTTACACTTTTCAATGACAGACACTGCCCCAGGGCCTCTCGGTCTACTGAGTCGAATACTGCTTTCAAGTAAAAAAAACTATCATTGTTGGACGCCGATAAGTATCTCTGCGCTCTTAAACCCGACGAACAGTGAATATGTGGTAGATGCGGCCACGACCAGGTCTGAAGCCAGCCTGATTTTCTCGTGTTTGCAGTTCACAAGTCTTAGTTAAGCGTCCGATAATTATTGAGG